CCTCACGTCGTATTCACACCCCAGACATGCGTGGGTGAGTAAATACAGTAGACTTACATGCCATTGGTGGGTCGGCAAATTATTGCGCTCCAATCTTACCCTGACCTGCGCGGCTGATCTACGGAGACTGAGCAAAATCGAAAGACTCTTATCAAACCTACGGTACAACCACCAGGGCAAACAGCCTTCCCTTCGGAATTAGACCAATAACAACTGTCTCTTGCCTACGCCCATTTATCATCCTACACTCCACAGCAATCACTGGAAGTGCACAGGTAATGGAGAGACATCGACCAGTAGAACTATGTAACTAACTCCTCCTTTTCATGTTCCTTCAACCTCGCGCATAGCTCTTTCCAACAACCAAATTTTAGCGGGGACGGGAATGGTCTCGCACCCATTCCCATCTCAGATACATCTGGCAGAGGTCAACACCTTGATCCCCCTCTTCCTCTAATGTGTCCAAATGACAAGGCTAGTTTATTGCCAAACCAACGACAGCCTAATCATGGTGCCTCAGTTCTCGTCGTGTCCCCAACTTTCTCCATATCCACACAAAACACGCTACCCTTATCAAAAAGCTAGCACAGTTCAATGACCCACAAGTGATCCTCGTCACTGAAACATGGTGTTCTTCAGATACACTTGACTCTACTCTTATGATTCCAACTACAAACTATATCGAAAAGATCACTGGAACAGCAAAAGTGGTGGGTGTATTATCTACATATGCAAGACATTTACAGCTAAACCTATAGACAACTCACAATTGAAAAATATCCCTGGATCTATTTAGCTCTCATTTGTGGGTATCACATATTACGTACTGCTCGCATGTATCTACAACCCACCAAATGCGCCTAACGTAAATAACACTGACATCACTTCGGCATTTGACTTCGCATCAGAGTAGCCACACAGCCAGAAGATTATTGCCGGCGATTTCAATCTATCGAAAATACGCTGAACATCGTACCCAACGTCTATCTTGCAAGCCTCTTTTTTTTCTTACATCAGAGCAGGGGCCGTACTCAGTGGATTATCAGTCCAACCAGGTCCGCCAACGTACTGGACTTAATATTCATATTGGGGATACCCAAGCGACAGACCCAGATCTTCAGCGATCTCCCTGGCAGCGACCATAACATGATACGACTCAGTTTCCATAGTAAAATGGTCACTAAACTCGCCTCTGCACAGCCAGTTACAACCTAAATATAAACCGGAATTGCTTTCAGCAATTCATTCGTTTTTCTGACTGTGATCTATTTTTCCTCTCCACCATTGTGTACAGGGCTGAGGAGTCGTTTTATAAGCAAATCAACCATGACATATCCCTCTTTGTTCCACAATGTATTCATACTTCTCATGTCTCCCACGATTCCGTCGAGCACGTAATCACCAAATAAACTAGAACATTAGCTTCGAGATACAGAAAGACCCATGCCTTTTCACTTGTCTTACAAATGCATGAATTTACCATCAGGGTCAAACACGCGCAAGTAACACGAGGGAAAAATGAAGAACGTGCAGCCCTACGGACAAGTTGCAAAGATAGGGAACTTGTCAAAATACTACATCGTAGAACCCTTGAGCGCACTCTTCTGATTACCGAAATTGTTGATGGTGAAGATCACTTACTCCATGACCCAGCTGAAATCTGCAAAGCATTCAGCGACATTTTTGGCTACTACCATGAGTCGCGAAGCTGACCCGGTGCCTGTGTGCGCAGAGCTCACAGGAACAAACCACTAAGCAGAGTCGATATCTCGTTCAACGCTATCCATCAAGTTATCAAATCAATCAGGCCATCTTCCAACCTGGGATCTGATGGCATTTCACCAACCACCATTAAACTAGGAGGATCTGATATACCATTGCTACTGATGAGCTTGTTCACTCTATCGCTGCAATCTGACCACTTTCCAGACCAAGCGAAATCGTCATTTATTATGCCTCGGTATAAAGGAGGTCCAAAACAAACGATTGGTAACTACCGACCAATCCACCACACTCCGATAATCGCTGGGCTATTTGAAAAACTGTTCAGAAAGGAGATGATGAAATTTGTCCATTCTATTGTCCTGATCAGTAATTCGCAGCGTGGTTTTCTTAGCAAGCGATCGTGCACCACCTGAACCACATTTCGGAATCAATCCATTCCTGCTGTGCAGTAGTCAGCCTGTTTCTTTAGGTATACCAAGCATTCTGCCGAGTACCTTCCAAAGCGACTGTTACAAACGTGGAAGAATTTTGGATCCGGGACCTATTACAAGGTTTGCTATCGTCATACCTGGTTGGTCGTCAGCAGTTAGTTACCTTAGGTGACTATCACTCTTCTCCACGCTCCATCATCCGTGGGGTTATTCAAGGGAGCGTACTCGGTCCTTCACTGTTTCTGCTATTCATTAATGACATCACCACATTTGTAAAACATACTACGCCATTTTTCTTTTCGGATCATATCAAAATGGTCTATAAGCTGCGGCGTGCTGCGCTTCGTGCGATATTACTGCTCACTCAAGATGTATTACATTCCCTTGAGTCATGCTGCTGCACGTGGGTGATGAATCTCTCGGCTAAGAAATCAAGCAACATGCCTTACGCCTGCTGTATCCCCGAAGGATCTATCACCCTAAACAATGAACGCGTCCCTACACAGTTGTCCACGCGAGATTTTGGCATTAGTTACCCGTCTACCTTCAATTTCTCCGAACAGGCCCAATACCAATTAGTCCGTGCCAGACAGTCTATGTTCAATATATCAAACAAAATGCACACAACTCGTGCTAGAGTTGAGCTTTTCAAGCTACTCACTCCCTTCATCCTGGAAAACTGCGACATACTATATGGCAATACGCGAGAGTGACAGAATTGCTGAGGAGCAACTGAAGAGGTCATTTACTAAACCTCTGATCTGTAAACACTGCAATGAGTTACCGATAACGTTACAATGGACTTCATCTGGAACCACTTTGGATTCGGCTATTAAAGCATATCCTTTTGCTACTTTTCAACATGCTACACAAAAGGACCTATTCCAAGCTACCTACACATAATTTACAACATTGCTCAACTCGAGTGCTTCGCAACAAAGAGTTTACACTGCATATACCGTAGGCTAGAACGAACGTCCGCCCTAATTGCTTCCTGATCAGATATAGCTATCTGTGGAATAATCTATTAATAACACGCAGATCATGTGACAATCTGGCAACATTTAGAAGCAGACTGTCCAGTTACCTTGACCTACTTACCATAATCTCGATATTCACATGCGAGAAATCCCTCTATGAGCTATTCCAAGAACATCTAAGCACCAGTGTTTTCATAACTAGGCTTTAGCCTCCAACCAACCGCCAGAATGTAAACACATAAAGCACATACCCCAATGTTCCACCTATGCATTTCACCCATGCAAGAACATTGATACTTCTGTACAAATTGATCTGTGCCATTGCAGACACAGTTTCTCGTAGCAAGAGAAATATACATATTATTATTATTATTACCATGCGTCGCGCACCAAGCGGGTCATATATTAAAATTTGCGCACCTAATCGTCAGCCCTCGGTAGCGCAGTGGTAGAGCAGCAGACCGGAAATTCGTTGGGTCGGGGTCGGGTTCGTTGGTTGGGTCCCTGTCGAGGCACATTATTGTGTGTGGATTTTAATCGTGACTTCTACTTTCTATGAATATTATTATTATAGTGTCCACTACAAGTCATGCACTGTAAAGTCTCAAACCCGGCACATGGCGGATCACGTGGAGTCCAGCCTGGAACGTGAGGCAAATCGAGGGCTTCTAGTTTGATCGTTAGTGACTTCATTTCACGCTGCCAAGTCAACTTCTGTCCACCTCGAGCCGCGCGCCACCCCAAATCTCGCAGACAAATTAAGGCCCTTCTCGGTAAGCAGTGATTAGACATACGTACTACGTGTTCAAGTCAGCTCAACTTATTCAGTGCTATCTGTTGTTTTAACGAACTATCTTGGCTAACACTGCCTAGTACGCGCCTACGCACTTCATCGTTGTGGACATGCTGGTACCACCCGACACCAGCAATGCCCCGCAGAAAACAATGATCGAACACTTGAAGGCGCCTCAGATCTTCCGAGCGAAGGGGCGTGGTCTTACTCTCATTGAGTTGGACGGCCCTCACTGTGGCTTTCAGACGGTGGGTAACCCCCTTCTATTCCCATAGATGCCGCAGATTCAAGAAGCCAGTTCTGACTTTTGCAATGCATGAACTGACTTCAGTTTCTATACGCCTATCATTGCTGAGGCAGCTGCCAGAGTAAGTGAATCGATGGACAACCACACGCATTTGGTGACTGTCTTATGAAGGCCGCATTGACAAGCACATCCGGAACTGGATACTGCCAGCTATCCCTATAATTATATTCATCTGCACATATAAAACGAGTACCACGAGTTGGCGAGTCGTGGCTCTGATTCAATTTGCGGTATAAAAGTACCAGAAACTGCAAACGTACAATCGGTCCCCTAAATTAGTACTGCTGTTTGATGGCGGAGAGTAATAGGCTTTATCCCACACGTATACATATCCTCAGCAATATCCGATGCCGTGTTAACCTTGAATAAATATTTCACTATGTTTTCCAAATCTCTTTCAAATTTCATAAACCCTGCGGGTAATTCCACTTTGTACAAAATTTTTTGACGCGTAATGTGGCAGCAAATCGAGTAAAAGCGTTTCCCAGCGCTAGAGTTTAGCGTCCATCTACTTCCGAGTGGTCTGCGCGTCTGGTTTGCAACCATGAGGTCACTAGTTCGAATCCACTTAGCAGTGGGCGTCCTCGCGGTACACTCAGCCAGCGCGTGACTGGTGATGGTCGGGTAGCAGCGAAGCACCATGACGGCGTACAGCTGGCGCTTTTTTCCCGAACAAATGTACTGCTCTCGCTAGTGGTCGAGACTGATTCATCTAGCAATGTGCTTTTTGTCAAAAGTCTGTTTCCTATCACCTTCCTGCATAGGGAAATCTTCGCTGACCTCATTCAAAAGGATCAAGTGCCTGTGGATTCGGAATCTGTGCAGAAAATGTAGGTTGTCTACATACGTATTTCCTTACAAATATCTGATTTGAAATGTAGGAAAAGCGAGCTGTTCTATTCTATCAACTCAAAGGGAAGATATTTCGCTTTCAAAGAACGACTGAAATATGCTGTCATCAAGATTGTAAGAGAGAAAATGTTTCGTACGTTACCCTTCTCTGACGATGCCCAGATGCAGGTGAGTAATTGACCTTTCCGGTTTCGCTGCACACGCATTTGAACGGCCATCATGGTCATCCCACGCTTCTATGCTCTCTATAATCCTGCTAGTTGCTTTCTATTTGTACCGTCTTGATAAGCAATGGTCCGCTCGGTTTGAATGTACCACGTTTGGTTATTTTTGTCCCATAAGTCCGAAATATCGTTAGCTACAATTCGTGCGTCTGAACGTTTACCAAATTGTATCACGAAAGTTTCCGGACTATCACCCTCCTACGAATGTAAGATAGCCTGGAAAAGCTGCGGAGCAGGAAGAGGTTTAGAAACGGCGAATGTTCCCCGCAGAGCACGGTGTCCCTGTGACGAATGCGTCTGCCAGAACACCACAACATGCTGAGGCATATTATTAGCTTCGATTATCTCTAACTGGTGATCACAATAGGCTCCAGCATGTGATAAGCAAAAAATAGCTGCACTTTAAGGTAGTACCTCCGCTAGGAGTATTGCGTGCGAGTTCGCCTGAAGGTCAGAGCGGCGAGTGGATAAAGGAGACAACTAATGGGATGCTTTGGTAGACAGCGAATGCGGTGGATTCAACTCAAATTGAAATGCGTGCCTTGAAGGTCATTCGCTCTGCATCAACCCCTGATGATCGTAGCATGAACTAAGGTCGAATGTAACTCAATGAGCTCCGGCTGTTTATGAATACAACCCGGACATAGTAGTTGTAGCTATGCGCAAGCAAGCATTCTGGAAAATGGATGGCGCATATGCATTGGCGTGCTACAAGACGACATGTACTCAGACACATAGATCCCGGGTTTAGGCACAGGTACTTAACTGTGATAATGAACAAGCTGTTTGGTGTCCGTTACTCCTTCAACCAATGACTTTCTTCTCAGCAAATATGCAGAGAACTTGAGACGGGAAGCAAGTAGAATAGATATCAGCCATGAGCACTAGTGAAAGTGATTTACGAGTAATCGCGCTGTTTTCGCACCCGGTTTGCATCAGGTTACCAACCACTGTAATCCTGTTTCTCTGACAGTCTTTTCTCAGCGATCTGTATGTTTTCCTAATCGATGAGATGCACATCGGTCTACGTAAGGTGTTCAACATGCGCCAAAAAGCTCCATCATCTGATGAGATGCACATTTCGAACGAGCTCCTTCTGCGAATGGCCAGGGAGTCCCGGAGCATTGGTGATTCCGAGTGGTCGAGCAGGTATTACGGAGTAAGTGGTGTTTGCAAACCTTCAATAACCTTCAACTGTTGTAAACGTTTAGGTAGTGTGGTCATGGTTTATTAGAATTTTGACGCAAGTGGTGGCACGTCCGTTTATCAACACGGTAGAATACTGATGCCCCCGGTTAAGTATAACTTCGTTCACACTGCTTAGGTCTTTTTTCTTGCAAAGTGGTTGATAGAACGGGTGTTCGCAAGTTGACTTTTTGAAGAAATTCCTTTGTTAAAACCATATTATTTGTGGGTTATTCATAGTAGCTTCCAGGTCAGATAGTCTTCCCGTTCTTGTCCTTGGTATTGCGGCACAATAGCTGAAGTGTTTTCCATCTGCAGCTAATGTGCATAATGATGATGCTGGTGCAGATGACACTGAACAGCCGCCTCATCTTAACGGGACTTGTGGTGATGAGCAGCCCTCGGGGCTCTCGCCAACTGAATCAATGGCCACTAGCTGTAGTTTAAGACGGTTTTGCGCTATCTCCCACAGCCTATTGGTCTATGCTGCTAGCTAGTGACGCAAGCCAGTAGTGGTTCGGTTCATATTGAGTCCCATGTATTTGCACGAGTCACGTGACCCAATAAATATTTTCAACCCGGACAATTGTACAATTGGTTTACTGCCACAACGCATGGGAAATACAATAAACAAACGAGGAAATGAAAAAATCTAAAACAGTGTTCGTGGGTTGAGTGTCACAACAGGTCCGCCATTGCGCACCGTGTATTGTCATATCCGAGAAGGTTTCCAGCCATGCGTATTCGCGATCCTTGCGCCTGCAGCCAGGGAGTCGGGTGTGTCCCGCCATGGCTAACTTTGAGGTTAGCTCCTTTATGTTTCTGGCCCAAGTCATACGTTGGTCATCCTGCTTTCGCTTCAGACCGAATTCTGCTCGCGCGAATAGTGCACGGCTACGTAAACGATGAGTAGACATGCGAAGCACTTGTCCAAGCCACTGAAATCTGCACAGTGAAAGTATACTTCTCCGTGGCCGGCAAATTCTGTCTGCTCTGAAAATCCTCTGTCGAACATTATTACTAGTGTGTTGTGGCCATCGTACACTAACAATGCTCCGAAGGCAGTGGGGATCAAACAAAGACAGCCAACAAACATCCTTTGCGGGAAATGGCTAAAACTCGCAGCCACAGAGCAGGACCGCTCTCCTTGGGGCGTTGTAAATTAAGCCCTTCAGAGCGAGACTTAGATGGCCTCGACACCAGAGATGGCGGAGATTAGCAAAAGCAACCCGAGCCCTGCAGCGGCGCAAAGAAACCTCATCAGTTAAACCGTTAGTGTAGAGGCAGCTCCTGAGGTAAACGAACTTCTCTACCACTTCCAACGAATGACCTGAATGAGTAGGGATTCTAGCAGTGCCTAACCAGTGCTGCAGGAAGTCGTTGCACTTCCCTCGTGCGAAGGCCTTTCTAAACTGGGAGCCAGACACTCTCAGCCATCACAAGAGGTTTCGGGCGGCCTGTCAGAAATCGCATGTTATGGTGACGTTGTCTGCGTACTCCAAATTCTGTAGCCGGTCCCCCGGAAGCACCAAGAGGCGACTGAGCTTGAAGTTCTCTAGAGCACTCTCCAGGATTTCGTCCATAGCGAAAGTGAACTAGAAGGGGATGTTGGGCAGCCCTGTCTCATGCAACTGGTGATACAAACGGGGGTGAAAGTCCGCAGTATACCCACACACGGCACGAAAGTTGCGAATAGATAGCGTGAAGAATGGTGCCGTACTTCTCGGATACTCCCCTTCTTAGTAGACAATTCCATAGGGCAACTCAGTCAACTGAGTCAAGCGCGGCTCGTATACCTAAGAAGACAACGATCGTTGGCCAAGCAAATGTTTGACGAGGTTTGAGTATTTGGTGATGAAGGTGAAGAGCGATGTAGAGCGGAGATAGGACGCAATCCCCACAACAGCATGGCCAGCAGCTTCGGCCGTTGAGTCTCCAGTTAGACGCATTGTGAAACTGCCACTGAAACTCGCAAACGGTGAAGACAGCGTTAGTCTCGTGCTAGCGTCTTGTAAATGGGTCTCAATGAGGCAGCAAATATCAACGGCCAAAGTTTCTAGTGTGGCTGTAAAGGCAACCTTTGATCTGATCTCCATCAGTGTCTGAACATTGAAGTTTTCCAGTTTGAACTGGGAAGTGGGCGTTTGGAACAATACTTGGCGCACCCTCGGACCTATGCTCCTGATCTGTATGGTGAGGACGCGCCCAAGGCGGCACGGTGTTGTATACTCGGAAACAGAGGGGGGAGACGGGGAATGGGTTTGAACAAAGGTGGCATAAAGTGATTAAACAATGGTGCGGTAAAACGTCGGCCGATGAGAGCAGCTCTAGTGAGTGAGAGTACAGAAAGCGATTATGGAAGGGATAAGCGATGATTTGTTGCGACACGGATCCACAGGTTGTGTGGGCATGGTACTTCCAGATTCCCCAGGTTTAGGAAGGGCCAGACCCAATAGGTCGAAACGGCCTTTCATTGCGTTCCCGCGCATGTGGAGGACTACCTCTCTTGGAAGCTGCTATGAATACGCCAACATTAACTATATAAACAATACCACACTCATGGACGTAGTAATTGTGTTAGTCTCTTTGCCACCTGCAGCCACTCCTCTACTGTAATAACTAATGTATAGCTTTATATCCTTAGTCGTTGAAGCCAAATGCAAAAGTAAAAACTTTGGTACTTGTCGATAGAAAAGAATAGAGCAGAGATGTTTGTGAAGGAAAAAGTGGATTTGACGAAAGTGTGTAATCGAAATGATGGTTTCATAGTGGAAATAGAACGAATGCAAAAGGCTCCGTTCAAATGTCCGACATCTACGCAGAACTCAGAATCTTGCGGAAAGCCGCCAAGTTTGTTTGTATTTAGAATCAGTTCTATTTTCTTCACCGGATAGCCTACAGAAAGACACGGTTTTCATAAATCTCATTTGGAGCAAGTTGCTAGGTACACAAGCTGTCGTTCTTGTTTGTGCAAACAATTATGCTTCCACATCTTTCAGCCGCTATCATGCGTTTTCACACTGCCCAATCTCCCCAGCTGGGGACAACCAACCTCCTTGCGAAAGATGTGGGCTGGGTGATGTCGGACAACTATTTATTATGGGATAAAGTTTTCAAAGAACTTCAGGATAACCCCAACTGAATGCAGTGTCTGGTGTAAAATAAGTGAAAATCCCATTTCCACTTCGCATCTTGACAAACCAACGAATTTTTTTGTTCGAGCATCCCATACAACCGTGTGGGCGAACGATCGGCATTTTCGGAAGCGTGGGAGCAATCCATCACTTTTCAGAGTCGAAGGCACATGTGTAATGTATTTGCGCTGACCTGGTCGCGTTAGCTTAGCCGAAAGTTACCCGTGGTCTGAGCACGGTCCACATTCACGCACGTATTCGGATAAGGCGCTGAGTCCTTGAAAACAGACAACGATACGCACACGACCGGGGGACTAGACGCGAGAGACTTAGACGCACACGCAGCAACCGGCTAAAACGACTCACACGGTCACGGGACCACGCGAGTCCCAACCAACCACAAGAGAAGACAAGACGAAGAGTACCTCCGAGTGTTCTGTTACGACCTACAAAGGCCGAAGCACATTTGGTACAGTGATCCATTTTCTGAGTGAGATGAATCACCACGTAGGGCGCATGATGTGCGAAAGAGCCTAGTTCCCTTTAACTCAGTTGCGCCCCGACTCGGATTGGCTGGATCCTGCTTCGTTGTGTGGAGTAATTGAACTCTGCGTGGCGCAGCCCACGCACTGGAGTTTGTGGCGCATTATTGCGGGGTTACTGGACCTTGCCGCAACGTCTCCCTTTGAAGATAATGTGTACCGCTTCTGACGAGGATTGACCTGAAGGGGTTTCGGTGATCTCCGGATTTTTCCTGGTCGTCGGTAAAGAGGGTTCTCAAGATGTTGCGGCGATTGAGCGACTTCGACCGTGGTCTCCCGTTGTGTTGCCATTCCGAAGGTATCCAACAGGATGTGCAGTGACAAGTGCACAGAAAGACTGGCTGGCGTTGAGAGTTCTCCGTGTCGCGATCAAAGTTTCCCGGTTGCCGCAACGTTTTGACAACCCTCCTTACCGACGAACAGGAAGAATCCGGGGATCCCCGAAATCCCTCCAGGTCAATCCTCATCAGAAGCGGTACACATTATCTTCAAAGGGAGGTGTTGCGGGAGGGTCCAGTAACCCCGCAAAAATGCGCCACAAACTCCAGTGCGTGGGCTGCGCCACGCAGAGTTCAATTACTCCACACAACGAAGCAGGATCCAGCCAGTCCGAGTCGGTGCGCACCAGGGCTCAAGAGAACTATGTACTTTCGTAAACCACGCTCCCTACCTGGTGATTCATTTCACCTACAAAGGCTGAATCCCAGTTGGCACAATGGTTCATTTTGGCGGGTGGTTTACGAAAGTACATTGTTCACTTCGGACTGGCTGGATCCTGTAACTTTGTGGGGAGGCACTGAACTCTGTGTGGCGCAACCCACGCACTGGAGTTTGTGGCGCATTTTTGCTGAGTTAACTGACGTTCCCGCAACAACATTTTTGTTAGCATCCGGACTGCGTAGTGCGGTGTACGAGGGTTTACTTTATGTGTTTTACGCAACTCCGCGCTAGTGATTTTCTTTCTTTATAATAAACCAACGTGGTATTAAGCAAAAAGCATTGGCGTCGTTATCGATAGAGTAACCTGTTGACTGCGATGGTTTGAGTTGGCCAAGCACCTCGTGAGTACTTCAAGATGAAGTTGGTAGGCTGATACCGCACTGCAAGTGATGTGGGGGGCAGTCCACTGAATTGATTGGGATACAGGCGATGTGCATACAAGGTATTCCAACCAGTTAACAGTTGGCCGGCTGCATACACAATGTTCGGTGCATAACTTAGTAAGTTGGTTCAATAGTAATGACAAGTTGGTGCCATTCGATGCTCGCTAATTTTGCACCCTCCTTCTGTGTCTCGTCCTACTCATCGACTAAGCATAGTGGCATGCTGGTCAAGTAACTTCGCTGGGTCGTCAGACACAAAACGCTTGAGGGTGAGAAATGAAACGTTAACGTCAACCATAAAAAGTGACAACCAAATAGCCTTCCTTCACACCTTTCTGATGATGTAGAATAGCCTGATCATGGTGATAAGAAATCCGATTTGCCCACCGATATAAAATGGTCAATGGTATATCGCGGACAAATGGCGAAGCTTGACAGGTCCCGCCGGATGAGCGGTTAGGCGTGAGCAAAATAGAGGCAAAAATAGCAATAGAAAATAGTGAACAACTACACATTGCGAACTTACCGGTTACCGTGTGCCCTTCTGAGCAGTTCACATTTGGTTTTATGTATTAGATAAGGTTATTTTTGGATGATATTGATGGATAAGTGGATTTTTAACAACTGCAACCTATCTATGAGAACGATCCAACTATCTTTTCTGATAGCCGCAAGAATTCCGCTTACTTCTGCAAAGTTCATGAAATGTTGATAGCAACAAGCTACTAATCAAACAACGTAATTAGTCCGCCACTTGTTTGTTATTTGTCGTGCTCTTCTTTTCCCTGCAGGAATTAGTGGCCAGAGACCCCAGCTGTTCCGCTTATTGGATCGAGTTCGCCTCCTTGTATTTGAGCACTGGAGAACCAGAGAAAGCTGAAGTTTGTCTGCATCGCGTTCTCCGCACAGATCAGTCACATCCAACCGCGTGAGTTGTTTTCATAGATCTCTCTATCCATTGGCATCTTCAAAGAAGTTTTGGCTGCGTCTAAGTCGCTATGAACAACAGAACTCGTAGAGTATAATGAACATCGGCTCCATGTAAACCAGGCTACAAATGAAGCTAATGAATAGTTGGTTCAATGTGTTTAACCTAGGTAGTTGAGAAGCGGTTTGGTTGCCGCTTTTGAGGTAGACTCTGGTAACTTATCTACCAACTAAAATGACTCTTTCTTGTGAAGAAAATACGCATACAAGGCAATGGAACTTTCTACCTTCCACTATAGTCATACAAGGTTTTTCCTTCCTTTCGCACGTTGTCGACCGTCTTCCGATTGCTGAACATCTGTCTCTGTCTTGGAACAGTTGGACGCGACCCATTGAAATGCGAAGTATGGCACTATTGGCTGGTGTGTACTACACCCTACCCGATGTTTTGTTAAAATTAGATATGTTCATGCGTATCAGACCACAAAATTCATTATGTTGAGAATCCTATTGCGCAGACTGTTGAACAACCCCAGATCGGGTTAACCGTGGTCCGTGAGTTGAAAAACATGACCTTTAGCCGATGCACACGTGCGCGCAATCTACGACTAACATTGTAGACGCAATTAGTTGTCTTATCTGCGAGAAGTGGATTTTTCAAGTGCGCCAGTGTCGAGAGGAGTGTTTGACCTTTCTGGAAAAGTACCCCTATGTTTTCATTGTTTAGGACTTCCCAAATCGATTCCGAAGTGCCATGTTTATAAGGAATACCTACCGTCCCAATCCACTGAGTAGTACGCCGTGGGTGAGGATTTGAAATTCGCCGCAGCTGGCCTCGGGTGTCCACTAGCAAATAATTGGTTCATTGCTTCTTTCCGGGCTGCCTTCTTATTTCCTTCCTCTGTGCACAGGGTCTGGGCTCTGTGAAACAGAGATGAGGAGACTCCAGCGTACACATGCTTTGGGTAACCGGAACTATAGTGGAGTACATCATCTGTGTCAGTCAGCTTCCGATATTTCGCGAGAGTGTTACGCACAAGGATAGCAGAATACAAGCGGTGCATTACATGACTCCCGGGGAACGAGCTTGAATACAGAACTCTACTAAGGGATTTGGCAGTAAAGATGCACGCGATATGTACAGGTCATGAGATCGACTTGGATAACGTCGAAATCATTAGAAGGGGTTACGATCAACGCCCTAAAGGCAGAATGCTGAGCCGGATGAGATTAGAAACGTGAAAAGCTGCTTTCATATGTGTGGCGGGCTGTCTTAACCCGACTATGCTAAGGAGCGCCGGCAGATGGATCCAGAGCAGCGAATGAACAGCCCATCAAACCTTTATTTATTTATTTATTTATTTATTTATCTACTCACAGTCTGTTAACAAACATGGTGCTATCATAACCATGGCAGAAGAAAAAGTGAAGAAGATGGAAACACGAACGGCAATTAAAAATGTCAAAAGATTTTTGGTTTTACGCACGCCATTTCGTATTTTTTCTTTTTGTTTTTGAGTTTTTGTGTGTATTAAAGGGGGGATAGAGTGGCAGAACAACATTGACGACAGTGATGACTGTTGCGGGCCATGAGGTCTAATGTTTCTAACCACTGCGATTCAGCATCTCCTAGTCCCCAACCTGGAAGACGGACTGGTCCGACTGCCGCCAAACTTGAGGTTGCCTCCTTCATGCTCTCCATGTTCTTCATGGTCTCTTCATGCTTCTCCATATCATTGGCTGTCCACCGCGGCATCCTTCCCAATCGCTCCCTGGGAGTGCAAATAGCGCTCGACGTGGAAGGCGACGGGCTGGCATGCGCAGAACTTGCCCGAGCCAACGCATGCGATGTCGGAGAATAACGTCCCGAAGACTGGCACTATTCGCTCCAAGCTCGCGGTCTCGCATCTCTGCGTTGCTTACGTGGGGTTGCCACCACACCCGAGCAATCATTCGTAGACAGCGATTGTCGAAGACTGACAGTCGCTTCCTGTCTTCTGAGCGAATGGACCAAGTCTCACAGCCGTACAAGATTACTGCACGGACGGTAGCATTGTACACCCTACTCGTGAGCGTGAGACTGACATCACGACGACGCCGTAGGTGTCTCAGTTTAATGAATGCAAGGCAGGCCTTTGTAATCCGTCGTGAGACTTCATCTCCAACGCCTCCCCCAGCCGTGATGCAACTGCCTAAATGAGTAAAGCAAGGGACTTGCTCCAGAACATGTCCAGCAATGGTGAGCGCGCCGCTTCAGGCACCTGCCAATCCTGGAGCAGCGTTTTACATTTTCCCGGAGTGAAGCATAATCCGTACTTAGACGCTTCCATCGCCAAGTGGTCCAAAGCGCTCTGGACGGTTTTTGGGTCGTACCTTAGCAAGGCGATATCATCTGCGTAGTTCAAGTTTGTGACTCTGTCACCAGGGAGGAGCTCAACACCGCAGTCCTGGACACCTTCCAGTGCTCCTTGGACAACATCTTCGATGGCGAAATTGAAGAGGATGGGTGAAATAGGGCAACCTTGGCGAACACCACTGGTCACAGCAAATGAAGTAGAGTGTGTGCCGTAAGCCCTGACTTTGCCCAACTTGTGGCTGTAAAGTTCTTACAGGATGGCTACAAACTTGTCAGGTACACTTTTCTTCAGTAAACAGTTCCACAACGCAGATCTATCTACTGAATCAAATGCCGCTCGGATGTCCAAAAACACTACGATTGTTGGCCGCCGGTGGATGTGACGAAGGTCGAGAACTTGGCGAAGCGTGAAAATTTGGTCGATGCAGCCGCGGCCTGGAAGAAATCTGACTTGTTCTTCTTGGGAAATCTCCTCTCGAGTCATTGAAAGCCTGCTAAGTAGGACCGAGACGAAGATTTCGGATGCGACAGAGATTAGCGAGATTCGGTTTTAGTTGCAGCAGTCGTCGCGGGAGCCCTTTTGTGAGTTCGGCACTTTCTTCTCAGTCCAAACTTTCATAAACCGCGATAGGATTTCGCTAACAAGTACACTCCCGCCATCTTGGAACAGAGCCGGTGGTAGACTGTCGGGCTCCGGAGCCTTGTGGCGTTTCAAAGATTGCATTGCATTTCGAATCGCCGCTTCATTTGTGGGGGGGGGGGATATGGAGACAGGCCAAGCATCATGCGTTGGGGCTGGAGGTGTCACATGGGGCTGTGTTGGGTGGTTGAACTGAAAAGCGAAATGCTTTGCCCAGCGACCCAAACGCCTGTGAAGGTTGGTGATTTTCGTGCCGTCTGATTCGTAAATCGTCTGACTGATAGCGCGGAAATTGCAACCGGCGGCTCTGATGATGTAAATTAGACGGCGAAAGTTGCCAGCTGATGCAGCGGCTTCTATCTCATCAGCTTGTTTTGACCACCAAGATTCACGATCAGAGCGAAGGCTGTTGCGCAATAGACCGGTGGTGTTCGTTCTAATCTGCGCCAGCAGGCACTGCCCGTCGGCGATCCGGCAATTCCGAGGATTTTCCCGAGATCCAGATTTTGGGAGTGGAGCGAGTGATGTTACAGCTGGACAAAAAGGCCGAGAGCAAGGCTTTTTGCAGACTTTACCAGTGTTGCTCAACATCCAGATTGTGAGAGAGAGCGAGATTTTCACGAAGCCTTTGTTGATACTCCTTCTTCACCACTGGGTCCTCCAACTTGTAGGTGTTCCGTCGGGTGTGCTTTGACCTAGGCGAACCACCGAAACGCATGCAAACGGTCGCACATACCAGTGCATGAACGGTATCGACGCATGTTGACCAAAATGATCGGCAGTCACGTACGCTGCCATGCCACCTGCGACTTATATCTATGTGGTCAATCTGTGATCAGCGCTGTGTTGATGGTGGAGGGCGCCAAGTGGCGTATTGGCGTCCAGGAACAATCCAGCCGTCTAGAGTGTCGACGGAATTACTTTTCCCTTCGGGTTTGCAAACCATGGAACGCACTCCCAGACTCAGTAGTATCCTCTCCTACCCTGGATGTTTTCAAAAAACGATTAGATGTTGCTCTCAGCTCCCAACATTTTGTTACCTAAGCTCCTCTGTTGTGGATTGCGCCAAGCATGTTTTCAACAGGACTAATGTATCAAGTGGACCTAAGTGAGCGACCATATTTTATTTTCTCACTCCTTACCTCAACTATCACTGCGCCCCAGTGTCTTTCTGAATGTTTACGCGCGATATTTCTTTTTCATTTTACACTGACGTTAATTATCAAATTATTCATCTCGGCAGACGTTCGATAGATGACTCAGACATATTTTAATTGCATCATATTCACCGCTACCATCCTACGGGACGTGTCAAGCACTTGCTTTTATCCCGTGATAAATCATTGTTTATTGTTCATTGTTCATTGTTCATTGAAAGCCGGTGCTGGAGAGTAATAGTTGATGATCAGAACACAGACTGAGCAGTCTCTCTCCATTGTCTGAGCGAACCTCATCATGTCCATGCTGTCTCCCGACGGGGCGCTCAAATGGCAACAGACGACCGACACGCGCGTTGAAGTCACCTGCCAAAACAATGATGTCTGTTTTAGGAGCCCTGAGGAGCAGCTCATGAAGGTTCTGGTAGAACTGGTCTTTGACTGTGTCCGAGTTACAGTCAGTGGGTGCGTAGGCAGAGATCACCAAGAGAGCACGCTTTTCGACTCGACGTCTGCTAAATTTACAAGAGCCATGGAGCCTCATCGTACAAAGGCGGCTATTGATCGGAATCCAATCAATCAAAGCAGTCCCGGCTCTAGCACTGAGGGCGATTCCAAAACCAGCTTGCCCAGATGCGGCAGGCTCGGCGTCACCAGAAAGGCGTAGAGTGAAGCGGGTGCGTGAGTTGAGCAGTGACACCAGCTGGTAGACCGAGTTAGAATCCTGGAGTCGTGTTTCATTCAGGCAGCAGATAACAATTCCAAGAGTCTCTAGCGTGCGTGCAAGTCCAGCTTGCTGACCGATTTACAGTAATGTGCGTACCTTGAAGGCTGCAAGTTTGAACTGT